GAAAAAAAAAAGAATTTTGATTGAGCCATTGATTGATAGCTCTTACTCTTTACAAACATCACCTTTATTTTTATCAGCATTTCTGTTTTACACATTTCCATGCCTTTTTTTTTCTTTTTCAAATATTTACATTATTTATTTATTTATTTTCAGTAATGCATTACTAGAAACTAAGTAGCCTTAGTAATTTCCTCTTTAATGATGTAAATGGGGTTTACTTTATGTCTAACATACACTTTTGAGGAATCTTTCTTCTCTTTCTCTTTTGTGTTTCGATAACATTTGCAACTCATTCTCTTTCGGGAGTATTGCCACCTTCCCCTTTGTATTTCCTTCGTCGTGATTTTGCACTTTAACACCTCAATATGTACAACCAGGTATCCCGCCAGATGATCTTAATGAATTTTAGAAACTATCCGTTGCTGCACCTTCTGTGGTGGGAACAAGAACAGAGACTCCGCATCTCACCCAAAAGTCCAGAGACATGCTCAGCAATCTGCTGACCTTACAAATCCAGACATCCCTACCCTACCTAGCCCACGGTAGGCTAATTGAAAAACACTATTTCAGGTACCTTGATCCTGCAAACGATGTTAAAATGTTCGGAGAAGGTTCACTCTCGCCTTCGTGGATTGGACACTTCTCGTGCACATGCTGGAACCAAATAAAGACACGTGGTCCGGTCCATTATTATTAGGAAACGGCATGGACCCCAAACAGAGAGCGTCCAAAAGCACTACCGCAGTCGGCTTGCCGACGTTCCGTCAGGGCGGTTCAGAAACACAATGCCTTACAGGATTACCCGTATCGAGTAAGCGAATCATCCGAAAGGTGCCGCCTTGGCTTTTAGGTCATTCTGTCGAGCGCGACGCTGGTTTGCATTTGGCAGGCTGCCACCTGGCTCCGCTCCCCGCTCCAAACGGCAGTCCTGCGGTAGCATACTTGCGATGCAAAATGCTCATCGTTATCTGGGCGACAGAATCCTTGCGACTTCTTTTTTTCCCCTTCGGTTTGCACGCATGTCCCGTCGCATATTTGTTCGGAAGGACTCGTTTTCTTGTCCTGCCTGGGATCTAGCAAAAAGATCTCCTAGGTACGAAGAATGCGTGTGACGCAATCATAACGTACACTTTCAGAGAACATGAAACGGCACAGTCGGAGCTTCCACACATCTTCCCGAAAGGAATGCTTCGAAGGCACGGCGAGGTTCCTCCTTCGAGTATCCAAGGAACCACGAAAATCCATTGTTTCAAGACGACTCTGCAGGAGATGCGGATCCAGTCGACAAGACGTTTGCACTCCCGCTGCAATTCTAAAGTTGTTGGGGGTATCGATGGTTGATGGTGTTAGCGCACAGCACCTTGGGATCCATGGAGCAAAAGCTCACAGTGCAACACTCGCGCACCCTAGGTTCAATCTCCACTCCCGCACATTTCGATCTGGACGAGCACCGTGCCGGCACGGTCGTGCGTCTACACTGCATGATACAAGCGGAAGACCCCAGGCTGGCGGCAATACTCAGTGATGGAAATGGTATTGTACCTTTTGTAACGGGTTTTGCAGCAAGTAATATATTGGTTTGGAGCAGATGCCAACGTCTGTAAGCACGTCACTTGAAAATGATTGAGCGTTCCTATCTGATACTGAAGAATATCCCTTATTATATTTTGTAGCAAGAATATATGCGAAAGAATCACACGGCCATCTTTTTAAGAAATAAGGCTGAGGTAAGAGTAAGCTCCATACTGTAAGGTATTTAAACTTTTTTTTTTTAAATAGTCTTCCAAGTATTAAAAGAAAAATAGTTGAAAAATGAGGCATAGAGCAACACTTAAGTTGAGATAAAGCCCCTATCTCCTCCCCACTTTTACACTCGGTAGTTAATTTAGCTCGTAAATTCCCGCAAAATGTTGGCAAAGATTGTCTATAGATAAAAATATGTCCTGGCAAGATTTCTGAAGGCCGAACATTCTAATATAATAAACTACAAAAACAACCCGCAAATAATATGAAAATCTACATTTGTGACTTAAAAGTGGCAGTGCGCTTTAGCGGCGTTCGAACCCGAGTTGAGTCGATGTTCGCTGCCCTTTCGACTGACTGCTGCACGAGAACTGCCTTGACTACCGTATTTATTCAAACAGAGACCTCCATTTTGTCCCTTTTCTTGGCACATCCTTTTAAAATTAGAGGTCACCCCAAAGACAAGACCAAAGAAGGCCGACCTGTAATAGTACTCAGCGTAGTTTCCGAATCAATCACCCCCCCCCCCCCCCCCCCCCCCCCCCCAGCCCTTTCCTTCCCCATGTGAACCGCTTCTCCTAGGACTCAGATGCAAAGCGGTGAAGCTCAACGCGCACGTGCGCTGGTGTGAAGCCGTGAAGGTTAACGTGAGCGGCGAAAGAGCCACGGTACACTGTAGCTACGCCATATGGCGGACACGATAATCGAGTGATATCACCAGAAGTGAAAGACCCCGGGGTAAGTCTTATTACAGTAGCTGCCATCACCTAAGACGGGACACACTATACGGTAAGCCTTTAAATATACATCTCTTCCATTATTGTTTTTCTTCTACTTTTCTGAATATTAAGATCAATCAATAATAGTATATATATATGTATATATTTTTTTCTTTGGTGAAGCTGACGTTGGCATTGGTATGGCACAAATTTAAACAAGAAAGGGGCTTTGACACAAGAGGTAGCGTACTTTCGTTGATGGCACAAATGGCGCGGCACTTCGATCACTGCAGTACTGCACCGACAAAATTCCCTTTCTACGGCGGACACACCAGTGGCCCGTCGGGGCCAACCAGCCTCCTGCGACATAATTAAATTTTGAATCCAACGTTGTACAATTGAGGAATCTCGTTGTACAAACAAGCCATTCTATGTCCAACATAGAACCGTGCAATCCTTCTGAACCTCCATCTTCGTGCCTCATTCTTCAAGGACGGAATGCTCCGACCAACCTTTCGCCGTCTTTCTAGGCAGCTTTGCACGGGGGCAAAAGACGTGCAAAACAAATCGGGTGCAACAAGCTGCGAAGTGACCTTTAGATCCTTCTCCAAAAGGCCGCCTTCACCCGCGCAAAGCACAGACCGCGAGCAAATGGGACTTCCACTATACGTGACGTGGCCCGGTGCTTTTGCTTTCTCGGTGTTCCACGCTCGGTATAGACTATTTTTCGTCGGACTGTCGAGGCTAGCATGACTTCCACGGTGTGCTCCAGCCCCGCACCACTGCAAAAGCATGCGGCTTCGTCTTGCGTCTCGTTCGCAAGCATGTGCACAACTAGCTCTGACAGAGTTGGACCACTGCAGAAGGTACGCTAACCTCGACAACGTGGCACAGGATAGGCGACGCCGAGTCTAGCGAGCTAAAAGAGTCAAGGCGCTGTTTGCAGCCTCGAATCTACACCTTTGTCCCAGCAGACGGCCACGCTCGACAAAACGAGCCGCAGCTGCGACCAAACCGTTGTGTGCACTTCCGAATTAGACCGCTACCTCCCCATATGTTTGATTGTGCTTTCATAACGTCGTAAGCGTTGCATTCAACCACAAAATGTGTTTCGAGGCAACAGTTATGAATGAGCTTCGGTCAACAATTTCGAACCCTGACTACAAACGAGAGCGAAAATGGCCCTACAGCCCAAGTAGCTTGGCGTATCCAACCGACGTGTCAGCCTAGAGTAAAACACATAGTTCGGTGTATCCAAGTGACGTGTCCGCACCTTCACGTGCCAAAACTGTGCTTGGCATTACTATCTGTTGCACTGCTCGAGAGCCGATCATTGGCGAGTGGTTCTTTCCAGACGAAGAACTGTCGCAACGCACTTGTGTAACACTAACCACAGGTGTGACGTATATTCTTACTGTATGCAAGAGATGTAGCTAGTCAAATTAGTTTCACAAAGTTTCACCAACGTTTAGATAGCTGGCAGTCAGTTTGCATGTGGTGGCCCGTCCCCACTGGACGCAGAATTCGATTAGTGGAGTGCAACTGCTTAGCTGGTATCTTTTGTGTGCACTCTAAAGTGATGAATAAAATCTGCGGAAGTGCACAGAAAATAGCGTTGTTGTTTTATTCGGGGTTATCAGGAACTGGAAGCAGAAAGTCAACCACAACTTCAGAGAATGTGTGTGTCTGTGGGGGGGGGGGGGGGGGGGGGGGGGGGGGGGGGGGGGGAATAAACTTGTTAAATTCTGATTTTTTTTTTTTTTTTTTTGTTAAACGGCAATGGCTCAAAACGGGAACAACCATATCAGCCAATCACAGTCTCGTTTTTGTTATTTTGAAGATGCGTGAGGAACGCATATGAGATGTGCCATTTCGTCAGGTGTAATCCTGCTACAAAACATATGTATGTCTATCGGATGACAGTTGTTGGAAAGCGATCCAGCGGCCTGTTAGCGACGTCCGTGAAACAAAAAGGGGCAGGCAACACTTTTGGAAATACCGGAAAAACTTTGTCTTTTCTTTTTTTAGATAAGTTTCGACGTTTGGTTCGGCTGCCCTCCTCGGGGCGCACGAACTCTCGATTTCTGGTGAAACGATTACCAAATACCTCGAAGTCCACGGATCCGCGGGTTAAGGATAGATCGCTTGCCATCGGAGACATGTCATCGCCACGCAACTACGAAAAGAGAAAGCACACGAGCCAGAGGGGCTAATCGGAGAGTCCCAAGCCCAAACATATGTAGCGCACACCGTGCAATAGGGGCAACGCTCAAACGGTGTCTGCTCCGACTTCTCGAAACAAAAACGTCGTTCGCGCAAAACCACTAGACGACCAAACCCCCCTAAAAACACGCGGACAAGAAAAGAACAAAGCAAAAAAGAAGACAAACCACGAGAGCTCGATACGGCGGACCAGCCACGGGTAGGATCGCTAGCGCAGCACTTTTGCCACGCGTTCGCTTTGCACGTGAACGGACGACTCGCGCAAGCTGGTGCACGGCACCCCAAAGGCCCGTCGGGGCACGCGTGAGCACTCACCTCGCCTCGTCGGCTTGACGGTGCCACCAAAATCCACGGGTTCCGTCGAGGCTTTGCCGCTGATCACATGCGCCGCGTTTCTGTTCACAGTCCACGGGTTCACTTTGGGCAGCGCGGAGTCACCGAAATCCTTGGCTCGGGCGGGCCTGGCACCGTGCGCCGCCGGGTCCGCGGCTCCGATGCCGTTCGACGACGACGTCGTCTCGGCACTCACTGGGGTCGAGTCGCGGGCGGGCACTGTGGCGTTTGTCGAGGCCGACGGACCGCCGTGAACCATATTGCGGTTTAGGCCTAGCTCGTCGTTGGACGCGGCCGCCTCGCCGTCCTGCCCCGAGTCGCTGGCGCCGCACACTCCGTTGGTGTTCGGCGTCGGTTCGGCGGCCCTCGGGTTCGCTAGGGCCTGCGCGTACGAGCCGGCGCTTTCTTTCGATGCCTTGAGGTCGGACACGTTGTGCTGCTGACGATCCGCGTGGTTAGTAGCCACCGTCGCCGCCATGACGGCAAACACGCACGCTTTCCCAAACCAACACCCGCGGCGCTTTTTTCTCAAAGAGCGTTTTGCTGGCGTCTGGCGTTGCTCGCGTTCAATGCGTTATTTTTTTTTTTCCTCCTCTCTCTTTTTCGAATCTCCTCTTTTTTTTTTTTTTTTTTCTGTTCTCTCTTTCTCAGCGCGGAGGAGAAGAGAGGGAAAGAGGAGCAGTTTTCGTACCCTGTAACAATACCACCTAGAACACAAGGCCTGCGCGTTTCCTCCTCTAAACGTCATCACTAGTAGATCCCCTCAGCGCCCCCTAGCTAGCCCGGATGAGCAACATCGTCTGCTACATCGTCTGCTCCATCGCCTGCTTCAGTGGTTTGTGTAACAGATAATGAAACAGATGCTCACGCCGAGTGTCTCTTGCAAATAGCATACGATGAAGTTAGACGTTCACGTGGAGCGTCAAATGCATGAGCGAAATTGCCTTACTGCTGCGCGAAGGGCTGAAAAGCTTTTCGTTGGACGCTGGATGCTGACACTGGACGCCATTTTCGAGGGCGCTGTTTATACCTCGGGTAGCTGCTTCGAAACGTTCTTCGGCAGAACGAGCGCGCGCGCTAGAAATGCGCGTCTCAAAGCCAGGAGCGCGTGCTAGCTCGCGCTCCTGGCCGAGGGAGCGTTCGCGTGCACGTCGCAAATGCACTGGAAGCTCGCTATCAGCTCGCGCTCAGCAGACACCCACACAGCTGCGGCCGCAAGTGAATGCGACGCAGTTGCGACGCGGCCCCTACTCTCGTCAAGCTTCGGGCTGTTTGCCGCTTGGGGCGGGTCGGGGATCTACTAACGAAACGTCATACGCAGGCCTTGTCTTCTAGGTGGTATTGCCTGTAAACAGGTAAACACCCTTCCACGTCGTGACGTTGGTGACGTCGCGGTCGCACGTCGCGCCGCCGTGACGTGATGCGGCGGACGGCGTCGGCTTCTTGGAGCTTTCGGTCGCTTGCAACTCTTGCAACCAACGCGGACGGAGCTTTCGCGACAGACTGCGCTGGCGGTGGGATGCCGCCGCTTTCGTTTCCAGTGCCGCCGCGACTTGGATATGCCCGGGAAGAAACACGTTCAGGGATCGAGAGTAGCCATGGCGAAAGAGTAGCGCGCGTGTTCCGCACCCGGGGCATGACACAGCGGCTCGTCGAGCGGTGAACGGACGTGGTGGGGAGAAAATAAATTTCAAGTGCTATATGTCGCAACGCGAGTTGTGATTGTGAGACTGGAGCTCGCCGCTCCTGCTCCTCGTGCCAAGTGGCCAGCGACGGTTGTCGACTGGAAGAAGTGAAGGTCACACTTTCCAGCTACGACAGTTTCTGATGTTTATCACCCCCCCCCCCCCCCCCCCCCCCCCCCCAACATGCACACACGCACACACACAATAATAATAACGATAATATAAGGCGCTGTCAGAGGACATTCGCTTATTTGCTTCCCTCAACCACATACGGTACTCCAGTTCTTATTCCAGTGGCAGATCCAAGGGGTGCGGCGGCCCCCCCCCCAAAAAAAAAAGTCGACCCTTCTCCCTCCCCCCTTCTCGGACGGCAATTTGACATGGGCGGACCCCCCTTGCACAAGAAAGAATGGGAGAATAGTGTCCTTAAAAATGGATTCATACCAACTCGCCCAACTTTCCATTCTAGTAAAAAAAAAAAAAAAAAATATGCTCCTGCTGGGATTGGTTGGGTACCTAACCTCATTTCTTCGGTTGTGATGCGAAGCATGGATAAACTCTCATAACCATGGTGGAGAATGAAAATCTAGATAATTCAAATAATGATCCAAATCAGCGGTCTCCAAATCCCGGCCCGCGGGCCAAATCTGGCCCGCACAAGTCTTTCGATCAGCTGGCGGCAATCCTACCACCAATGAAACCAGGCCCGCGGCCCGTTGCTACAGCCCTGCCGCGACGCGCTTCAAGTGCGCAAACAAAGATACAAGAAACAACTAGACAAGTTGCATCATAACCTCATATTATTCATTGGACATTGTAATCACCAGCATCACAATCCTTGGTTTCCTGCCTCATGTTTGCTTAACTATGTTAAAAAAAAAATAAAAAAAAAAAATTCGTTTGCATTATTATATGCATTGTTATTAGTGTCCTCGGTCACAACTACTGCATATTATCAGGGTTATCATTCTTCTTAGTCCTTTACATTGCACAAATGTGCTAAATTCCCATGCGCTTGGATTTATGCCTCGGGAATTTCCTTGGCCACAACTGTCGTGTCAATAAATAAATAATATAATTCAACAGAAATATTGAATTTCAAGGTGAAATATACAGTATATATATATATATATATATATATATATATATAGAGAACGAAGAGGGGAGAAGGTGATCATTGAATTTATTGCATTAAAGTTAGGGAAAGGGAAAGGGAAAGAGAGCTGGCGAAAAATTGGGCCAGGAGCGGGGATTGAACCCGCAACCTTCGCCTGACCGGGGCGACGCCTTAACCGATTGGACCATCCTGGCCACTGGTTTCGGCGGACTCAATTTCTGACCAGCTCTCTGTGTGCTATTTAGTTTCGAATTCGCTTAACTGGGTAGACGACAACCGTTGCTGATTTAAGGCCCGCGCTATTTCCGACATGCGGCAGTGACGTGGCACGTCATCTCAGCTTGCAAATGTCGGAAAGGGCCCGTCTTCCAGGATATCTAGGGAACCACTCCTCCCCATAGGGACAGGCTGCACCGTATATATAATGGGATTGAGTGAAGATTGACAAGTGCAGCCGTAGTAATATTGAGAACGAAGAGGGGAGAAGGTGATCATTGAATTTATTGCATTAAAGTTAGGGAAAGGGAAAGGGAAAGAGAGCTGGCGAAAAATTGGGCCAGGAGCGGGGATTGAACCCGCAACCTTCGCCTGACCGGGGCGACGCCTTAACCGATTGGACCATCCTGGCCACTGGTTTCGGCGGACTCAATTTCTGACCAGCTCTCTGTGTGCTATTTAGTTTCGAATTCGCTTAACTGGGTAGACGACAACCGTTGCTGATTTAAGGCCCGCGCTATTTCCGACATGCGGCAGTGACGTGGCACGTCATCTCAGCTTGCAAATGTCGGAAAGGGCCCGTCTTCCAGGATATCTAGGGAACCACTCCTCCCCATAGGGACAGGCTGCACCGTATATATAATGGGATTGAGTGAAGATTGACAAGTGCAGCCGTAGTAATATTGAGAACGAAGAGGGGAGAAGGTGATCATTGAATTTATTGCATTAAAGTTAGGGAAAGGGAAAGGGAAAGAGAGCTGGCGAAAAATTGGGCCAGGAGCGGGGATTGAACCCGCAACCTTCGCCTGACCGGGGCGACGCCTTAACCGATTGGACCATCCTGGCCACTGGTTTCGGCGGACTCAATTTCTGACCAGCTCTCTGTGTGCTATTTAGTTTCGAATTCGCTTAACTGGGTAGACGACAACCGTTGCTGATTTAAGGCCCGCGCTATTTCCGACATGCGGCAGTGACGTGGCACGTCATCTCAGCTTGCAAATGTCGGAAAGGGCCCGTCTTCCAGGATATCTAGGGAACCACTCCTCCCCATAGGGACAGGCTGCACCGTATATATAATGGGATTGAGTGAAGATTGACAAGTGCAGCCGTAGTAATATTGAGAACGAAGAGGGGAGAAGGTGATCATTGAATTTATTGCATTAAAGTTAGGGAAAGGGAAAGGGAAAGAGAGCTGGCGAAAAATTGGGCCAGGAGCGGGGATTGAACCCGCAACCTTCGCCTGACCGGGGCGACGCCTTAACCGATTGGACCATCCTGGCCACTGGTTTCGGCGGACTCAATTTCTGACCAGCTCTCTGTGTGCTATTTAGTTTCGAATTCGCTTAACTGGGTAGACGACAACCGTTGCTGATTTAAGGCCCGCGCTATTTCCGACATGCGGCAGTGACGTGGCACGTCATCTCAGCTTGCAAATGTCGGAAAGGGCCCGTCTTCCAGGATATCTAGGGAACCACTCCTCCCCATAGGGACAGGCTGCACCGTATATATAATGGGATTGAGTGAAGATTGACAAGTGCAGCCGTAGTAATATTGAGAACGAAGAGGGGAGAAGGTGATCATTGAATTTATTGCATTAAAGTTAGGGAAAGGGAAAGGGAAAGAGAGCTGGCGAAAAATTGGGCCAGGAGCGGGGATTGAACCCGCAACCTTCGCCTGACCGGGGCGACGCCTTAACCGATTGGACCATCCTGGCCACTGGTTTCGGCGGACTCAATTTCTGACCAGCTCTCTGTGTGCTATTTAGTTTCGAATTCGCTTAACTGGGTAGACGACAACCGTTGCTGATTTAAGGCCCGCGCTATTTCCGACATGCGGCAGTGACGTGGCACGTCATCTCAGCTTGCAAATGTCGGAAAGGGCCCGTCTTCCAGGATATCTAGGGAACCACTCCTCCCCATAGGGACAGGCTGCACCGTATATATAATGGGATTGAGTGAAGATTGACAAGTGCAGCCGTAGTAATATTGAGAACGAAGAGGGGAGAAGGTGATCATTGAATTTATTGCATTAAAGTTAGGGAAAGGGAAAGGGAAAGAGAGCTGGCGAAAAATTGGGCCAGGAGCGGGGATTGAACCCGCAACCTTCGCCTGACCGGGGCGACGCCTTAACCGATTGGACCATCCTGGCCACTGGTTTCGGCGGACTCAATTTCTGACCAGCTCTCTGTGTGCTATTTAGTTTCGAATTCGCTTAACTGGGTAGACGACAACCGTTGCTGATTTAAGGCCCGCGCTATTTCCGACATGCGGCAGTGACGTGGCACGTCATCTCAGCTTGCAAATGTCGGAAAGGGCCCGTCTTCCAGGATATCTAGGGAACCACTCCTCCCCATAGGGACAGGCTGCACCGTATATATAATGGGATTGAGTGAAGATTGACAAGTGCAGCCGTAGTAATATTGAGAACGAAGAGGGGAGAAGGTGATCATTGAATTTATTGCATTAAAGTTAGGGAAAGGGAAAGGGAAAGAGAGCTGGCGAAAAATTGGGCCAGGAGCGGGGATTGAACCCGCAACC